GTATGATTCTGTTTGCATAAAATTCCAGAAAGTGAAACTAACGTGCAGTAGCTGGGAGAGACTAGTGGTTAGCTGGGAATGGGGCGAGGAGGGAGTAAGGGATTAGCGGGTAGGCTGAGGACGCTACTCTGGATGGAGAGCACTGTAGCCACAAACAGGAGTCTCATCCTTTTTTTTTTTTGACAGGCAGAGTGGACAGTGAGAGAGAGAGAGACAAGAGAAAGGTCTTCCTTTGCCGTTGGTTCACCCTCCAATGGCCACCATGGCCGGTGCGCTGCGGCCGGCGCACCGCACTGATCCGATGGCAGGAGCCAGGTACTTATCCTGGTCTCCCATGGGGTGCAGGGCCCAAGCACTTGGGCCATCCTCCACTGCACTCCCGGGCCACAGCAGAGAGCTGGCCTGGAAGAGGGGCAACCGGGACAGAATCTGGCACCCCGACCGGGACTAGAACCCGGTGTGCCGGCGCTGCAAGGTGGAGGATTAGCCTAGTGAGCCGTGGCGCTGGCCAGGAGTCTCATCCTTTAGACTGTGAACGAATGTGGGCCAGATAAAAATCCCATGCCTGGGTCGGACACCTGGATTTGTAGAGCACGAGGAACAAGATGCTGGCAATAGGAAGCAGAGCTGGTCCTGGGATGACAGCCGCGTAGGGTCATTGCCTGCTCCAGAAACTTCCAGAAGTCGAAGCCATCATGGCCGGACGGCAGCTAGAGTTGGTTTGTGCTCTGCCTGTTGGCTTCCTTCATCAGTCCAGCTTGGCTTCTCCACGCCCCCTCGTCCAGAGTAACATTATTCGCTCTGAAATCTACTCCACCAGCCAGCTTTTCAGCACACTAGACTCCATGATTCCATCACTTCTCTGATATTACACCATTAACCACTGACTTAAGACTTTGGGAACCAAGTCCTCGACACCTGAGCCTTTGCAGGATATCCAATGGGTGATTTTGCAAACTGCAACCTCTACTTTGTTGTCAATACAGCCACTCCACCTGGATCCCCCTCCCAGGCTCTTACCTGTAAACTGTCTGTGACTTTGTATTTGGAGTGGATTTCTTGTAAGCAGTGTATACGGCAGGTCTTGTTTGGTCGTGTAATTTGGAATCTGCCTTTTGATTGGGATATTTGTATCATTTATATTTAGTGTGATGAGTACAATAGTTGGGCTTGAATCTATGTTGCAATTTATTTTCCATTTGTCCCATATTTTCTGTTTCTTTTTTTCTTTCAGATTAGGCAACTTTTGTCTTCTTGTTGGCTTATTCACAATCTTCCTTTGCTTTTCAGTGATGGTGTTAGTGTGGCAATACAGTCTAATTTTATGTAGTACTCCATCAATTTACTTTTAACACATGACCTAATTGTACCCCAATTTGTACCTACCCTTTACTGTTATTTCCTACATTCGTGTTTACATATATTATAAAGCAGGTGATGTAGCATCACTGTGTTTGTTTCAAACAGTCCTCTCTAAAAGATATTTACAACTTAAATGTTAGTGGCTGGCAGCACAGCAGGTTAAACTGCTGCTGGTTCAAGTCCCAGCTGTTCCACTTCCCATTCAGCTCCCTGCTAATGCGCCTGGAAAACAGCAGACGATGGCCCTGCTGGGTCCCTGCTGCTCTTGTGGGAGACCCAGATGGAGTTCCAAGCTCCTGGCTTGGGCCTGATCTAGCCCTGGCTGTTGTGGCTATCTAGGGAGTGAACCAGCAGAACTCTCTCTTTCTGTCTTTTTTTCATTCCACCTTTCAAATAAATAAATAAATAAATAAATTAAAAAAATCAAGGTGGAAGTATCTTACGCTTACCCATGTGCAAGCATTTCCTACTTCTAATGCCCTTCTTGAATTTGTATCAGGAGTGGGGGATTTTTTTTCCCTGCTAAGGGCCATGTGGTTATGTGGAACATCATTCATGGGCCACACAAAATCATCAACTTAAAGATGAGCCTGCTGTCCCTGTGTTGAACTTGGAGTCCTGTCTGCGCTTGCCTTGGCAGAGCCAGCCCCAGTGATTCCATGGGCCTTGGGTGGCCTGTGGGCTGGATGTGCCCCATGCCTGGTCTAGATTCTAATAGCATCGATAAAACAACAGCTACAACCTCCCACAGTTGCTGTGGATTTTGTGGGCTAGGCGGATTCTGTGCTTTGTGCGTGTTCGGTTTGTTTCAGTTGGGGGCGGGGGCAGGGGAGGGAAGTCTGGTCTTTTCTCCTCCTCCTTGGCTGGAATCAGATGTTTTCCGTGATGGACGCCAAGTCTCAGCTGTTGATGAAGCCTTGGCTCTGAGCCCAGAGGTTTTGTGGGAGGAGGGGGAGGGGAGCATGGGAGGCCCCCAGGGACCTGGCAGCCAAGGCCACGGGCAGGAGAGGTCTGGATGTGGTGCCCAGAGAGAAGCTGGGGTGCAGAAGGGACTCAGCCCTGATCTGATCCAGGGCCTGGCTTGCTGATCTTCACCTCTGTCATCGCCCTGGGTATCACCTGTGCCCCTGGGCACAGCCTCACCCTGGCTTTGTCCTGTGCCTTGCATCATCTTTCAGGTTTCCCATTTCGCCTGGAGATAACACAGCACTGAGTCAGGGAAGACTCGGGTGAGCCCTGGGGTAGAGCAGGCAGGGGTGGAGGGATGAGAATGGGACCCTAAGCCCTGGCATTGGAGGTGACAGGCACCTCCCCACCCAAGAAGCGTGGTGACGATGACGACGCCTCTGGCAACTGGCACTAACCCTGACCCCTCGTCATGGCCTGCCCACTTAATAAGAGGTTTCTAATTTTTACCGAATATCTGTATGTCACCGGCATGTGAACAAAGCAAGTGCCACCATGGTCCCTTGGAATCTACATCCCGCCGGGGACAGCTACAGGGATGGCCTGGCCAACCCCTGCCTGCTCCACTGCCATTCTGAGTGCTACCCAGGCAGTGTCAGAGGGCCCTGTGAAGCTGTCACGATGCCCAGGGTATGGCACCCTCCCTGTCTCCCTTTCCGGATGTGGGGTGGGGGAAGGGTGGTCTCTGGGCCTTCCAGGAGGTGCTTTAACACTGGAGTGTTAACATAAGTCAACAGCGTGCTGGCTCCTGGGAGCTCCGGGCCGCCTGGGTGGGTGCATGCTGCTCTGCAGAGTCAGTTTTCTTGACAGAGTCAATATACACAGGACTCAAACACACACGGACGTCGTCCCACGGTCTCCCGGGAGCTGCAGACCTGTGGTCCCTGTGTAAATGTGAGGTTGGTTGATTCTTCCCAATCTCCAGTTTTATCAGCAGACCTGGGATTTCCTCCGCCACGTCTTTGTGTTCAAACAGCCGAGCCCGAGAAGAGCACAAGGTCTGGGAGGCTGAGGAGGTGGGCATGTGTGCCTGCACATGCCCGTGTACATGCCTGCACATGCCTGCCTGCATGTGTGTCTATATGAGTGTGTGTGGTGTTCATGTGTGTTTGCATGTCCATGTGTGTATCTGTGTGCCTATGTGTATGAATGTGTGTGTCTTTGGATGTTGTGTGTATCTCTATGTGCACACATGTATGTCTTCATGTATGTCTATGTATGTGTGTGCATTTGTGTGTCTATGTGCCTATATATCTATACATGTGTAAGTATGTCTCTGTGGAGTGTCTTCTGCTCTGTGCTTCTTGTCTTCATGCGTGCCTGTGTGTGTGCATGTCTGGATGTGTATGTATACAGGTGTGTGTCATGTCCTCATGTCTTCACGTGTGCCCACCCATATATGTACATGTCTGAGGTTGTGTCTGTGTGTATGCATGTGTGTTTCAATGTGTTGTCACATGTCTCCATGTGTGCCTATGGGTGTGCATGTTTGGATTGTGTCTGGATGTGCACGTATGCATGTCTTCACGTGTGTCCATGTATGTACGTGTGTTTCTGAAGGTGTGTCTGTGTGTATGCATGTGTGTGTTTCAGTGTGTTGTCACATATCTCCATGTGTGCCTATGGGTGTGCATGTGCAGTTGTGAGCTTGTGCATGTCCCTATGTGTGTCTGAATGTGTGAGTCTGTGCATGTGTGTATCTGAGTGTGAGTGCTGTCTCTCCCTGTGCCCCACCAAGGGGTCAGGGTTCTGCTCACACACAGAGGGACCTCATTTCTTTAAGGAGTGCTGAACTGAGGTGAGGAGGTCAGTGGGTCCATTGCTAAGGCTTTCCAATAAAATGCTCAGTCCTGGGCCCTCTCCTTTGCTTGTTGAATCACCCTGTGGGGGTGAGGTGGCGCCTGGGAATCTGCACTTCACACGCATCTGGGTGATGGTTATGCATGCTGAGGTTTGCTCCTGCTCCACGGGACTGTGTGTCTTCCCCGTGTGAGGCTGTCGCTCCCAGGAATTCTCTTTGGAACCTACAGGGTCCCCTCAGCTAACTCGGAAGCTGTGCCCTTTTTCAAGGTGGTTAGGCGAGGTGGTTAGACCTGCACACCCCAGCTCTGGCTGGCCCACTGGCCACCTTCCAAATTGGCTAGGAGGGGGCCTTGCCCCCAAGTGCAGACCCCTCAGCACGGGGGAAGGAGTGTGTGTCCCCACCTTACGACTGGGTGGTCAGCAGTGTGCACCTGCAGCTCTCTCCCCAATTCCCAGCCCCGCCCCCCAGGCATCGCAACTGCGGGAACAAGCTGTCTTCAGTTCCCAAGGCTGCTGCTGGTCTCCTAGGGCGCCCTGAGCTCTTGTTCCGAGAGCTGGAAGGCGTTTCAGTATTTGAAATGATTTTTTTTCCCCTGTATTAGGATGGAACCAGCCCACTCCTCGAGCAAAATCTATAGCGCTGAGCAGCGGCAGAAAATTGGCAAGGCTTAATAAACCTCAGGCTTGCCGCGCTCCTGTGGCTGTATATCAAAGGGAAAACAAATATATTGACTAATTCCTCTCGGAAGAACATCCATAAATTACAGCTGTTTGTGCAAAAAAAAAAAAAAAAAAAAAGGGCTCTGGATGATGTCATCGGCGCTCTTCCAGGTGGCGCAGCCCCCCACCCAGGTCCTCCTCTGGCTGACTCCACTCTGAGCGTGGGAAGGGCTTGGCAACTAGAGGCCTGAAGTTTGGGGAGGGAGAACGACACATTTGCCTTCGTGAAGCGCTCTGCTTCTTGGAAGCGGCACGAAGACACCGTGTGCAAACTGGGGAGAGCCGGACAGACCCAGTTACCACCTCGGCCCGTGCCCTGGGGGGGAGGCACAAGCACTTCCGGGTGGCGGAGTGCACTTCCGGGTCAGGGCGCCTCCTGCTGTTTCCGCAGTCCGAATTTGTCCGCCTCCCCTCAAGCCGGCCCACGGGTTGACTGGCTTCCATAGCAAGAATGGAAGTTCTCCCTGTGTTCTCTACCGGCCTTTGGCACAGTTGGACTGTAGCGTGCAAGCGTGTGCAGCCAGAGCCAGGGGCTGCCCCAGCCCAGCTCCACCTGGGTCACATCCAGAACCCGCCTCTGCCCCTGTGGGCCCAGCAACGGGTAAGGAAGCAGAGCCTGGGAGCCCTTAGGTCAGCTGGCTGCTGCTGCTCCCTTTTTTGAAGATTTATTTTATTTGTTTGAAAGAGTTACAGAGAAAGGCAGAGAGAGAGAGAGAGAGAGAGAGAGAGAGAGAGGTCTTCATCCGCTGGTTCACTCCCCAGGTGGCCGCAATGGCCGAAGCTGCACCTATCTGAAGCCAGGATCCAGGAGCTTTTTCCGGGTCTCCCACATGGGTGCAGGGGCCCAAGGACTTGGGCCATCTTCTGCTGCTTTCCCAGGCCACAGCAGAGAGCTGGATCAGGAGAGGAGCAGCCGGGTCTCAAACTGGCGCTCACATACGAAGCTGGCAGTGCAGGCTGGGGCTTTAACCTGCTCCGACACAGCACCAACCCCAGTGCTGGCTTCTAAGCTTAGCTGACCATCACACTCATCCAGACGGCACGGAAAAGCAGGTTCCAGGGTTGGAACCCCAGGCAGTGGCAGACTGTGAGTGTGTGTGTGTGTGTGTGTGTGTGTGTAAGTATGTACATTAAGAAGCCTGGAGCTAGGCAGACTGTGAGAATGGGGAGGGGGGATATGGGAACGAATGGGGGAGGGGCGTTCAAAGGCTAGGCAGTGCCTGCATTGGAAAAAGGCTTGGAGCCAACCGCAGGCTGTGGCTCTGGGGTTAACCTGCTGCTCTGACACTGGCGTCCCATGCGAGCGCTGGTTCAAGACCCAGCTGAGCTGCTTCCAACACGGCTCCCTGCTGGTGTGCTTGGGAACCCATGGAAGACGAGCCAAGTTTCCTGGGGGGCCCTGCACCCACGAAGGAGAACTGGATGGAGTTCCTGGCTCCTGGCTTCCGTCTGGCGCAGCCCCAGCCGTTGCAATCATTGGCAATCTGTTCTCCCTCTCTCTGTCACTCTGCCTTTCAACTAAATAATAAATACAACTTAAAAAAATGTGGCTTGATTTGCTTGCAGGCAAATACAGCTGTGTGTAGGTTCTTGTGGGGTCAGAGGGAGCCCCCAGGGCCCTCGTGTTACATGCGTGTTCCTAGAAGTGGCACAAAGGCACAGGCCGCCAGCCCAGCGTGGCCGGCTGGGGCTGGACTCCACTCACCAGGAAACAGCCAGGAAGTTCATTGCAAGCTGTGTCTGATTGGACGGCCGGGTGTTCTCCTCGTCTTCGGGGGTGCAGCCTGTGGAGCTGCCACCCAGATCCAGCAGGTCCCTGCTTAGCTCTTGTTCTGCAGGGCCTGCTACCTGGAGCCCTCAGCAGGGGCAGGAGGGACTTGCGTGGTGGGAGTGTTCCGGAATTGTGCCTTGAGAAGGGAGGCAGTGGGTGGGTGGGACCCACTGAAAGGTGGGTGTGGTCTGAGGGCCGTGCCTATGGCAGCCTGGTCCCCTCGTTTCGGACTCAGAAATGGAGGAACTGATTCTGGCTGCACGCTTGGCAGGCTGGGAGCGTCCAGACACGCCCTCCCCACCCCATGCCCCACTGGCTTGTTTTGTTTTAGTTTTAATTGTATTTTTAAAAAATGATATTATAGACGCTGGCGTTGTGGCTCAGTGGGTGAATCTGCCGTCCCAGACACCAGCATCCCACGTGGGCACTAGTTAGAGTCCTGGCTGCTCCACTTCCGATCCAGCTCCCTGCTAATGCAGCTGGGAAAACAGCAGAAGGTGGTCCGAGTGCTTGTGCCCCTGCACCCGCGTGGGAGACCCTGATGGAGTTCCAGGCTCCTGCCTTTGATCCTGGCCATTGCAGTCCTCTAGGAAGAAGATGAAAGATTCTCTCTCTCTTTCTCTCTATGTTTCTCTGCCCGCAACTGTTTTCTAAATAAATACATCTTAAAAAAAAAAAGATCATATAATAATATGGAGTATGCAGGCTTGAACAGCCCTATGAATTTTTTTTAAAGATTTATTTATTTATTTGAAAAGTTACACAGAGAGAGGAGAGGCAGAGAGAGAGAGAGGTATTCTGATTTCTGGTTCACTCCCCAGTTGGCCACAACTGCTGGAGCTGGACCAATCTGAAGCCAGGAGTCAGGAGCTTCTTCCGGGTCTCCCATGTGGGTGCAGGAGCCTAAGGACTTGGGCCATCTTCCACTGCTTTTCCAGGCCATAACAGAGAGCTGGACAGGAAGTGGAGCAGCTGGGACTCTAACTGGTGCCTATATGGGATGCCGGCACTGCAGGCGGCAGCTTCACCCACCACACCACAGCGCTGGCCCCACCCCACCACAGCGCTGGCCCCACCCCTATGAATTTTAACACTTGTATGGATTTGTGTAGCTATCTTCACAAGCAGGGCGCTGGGTACTCCACACCTCCAGACTTCCTGGGGTGTCCCTTGGTAGGCACGCCCTCCCCTGCCTGGGCTGACTGCCCACCCCCCCCCCAGTGTCACCTTTTGAGAGGAGTTTCCCTCACTCCCCACAGTGTCCTTGGGAGTCACCCAAGGTCGTCTGGAGGCTGGGCTGTGGTTCGCTGTACCTGATGGTGGAGCAGACTGTATCACATAGACGTTCAAGTTTGTTTATTCATTCGTCCATTGAAGGGTGGCTGCCTTGGGTCTGGGTTGTAGTGGTTATGAACAGAGCTGCTGTAAGCGGGCATGCATGGGTTTGTGTAGGAGCCTTGGTTTTCAGTTCTCTGGGGTAAATGCCCAGGGCTGAGACTGCTAGTGGAAAAGAGGCCCATGTTGAACTTCGTAAGAAACCACCAAACTGCTTCCTGTACTCTCGCATGCCTCCCAGCAACGGAGGGGAGCCCAAGCGACTACATTCTCCAGAGCACTTGGTATATCCATAGTTTTTGTTTGGGCCTTCTAGTAAGTGTGCGGGGTGTCTCCTCGGGTCTTTCGCTGGTGTATTCCCAATGACCAACAATGAGCATTTTGTGTCTGTGCTTACTTACCATCTGTTAAGTTGTTGGCCTGTTTTGCTATTTGGAGTTTTGTGTTCCCACTCTTGAGTTTCGAGAGTTCCTTGTATATTTTGTTTGGGCCATGCACTTTGCTAAATATATAATTTGCAAATATTTCTTCCCAGCCTGTGGCTTTTCTTTTCATTCTTCTAAGAGCGTCTTGTGAGGAGCTTTGATTTTAGTGGGGAACAGCTTACACTTTTTCTTTTATAGCCCATGCTGCTCAGTGACATGTCACAGAACCCACTGGCTACTTCCAGGTCACAAAGATTATCTCCTGTAGGTTCTAATAAAAGCTTTATAATTTGTTTTTACATTTGGATGCGTGATGTGTTTGAGTTAAGTTTTTATATGGTGTGATATTAAGCTGGAGTTGTATTATTCTATTACCGTGATCTGCAGGAAGATGCCCAAGTGTTCCAAGAAAATTTCTAGAAAAGACTGTCCTTTCTCCCTTGAATAGCTTTTGCATCTTTATAAAACGAATCAGTGGTCCATGTTTGTGTATCCATTTCTGGTTTTTCAATTCTGTTCCATTGATCTAGATATTCCTTTATGAATATCACGTCTGGGTTACTGTGGCTATGTAGTAAGTCGTGAGATTCTGTAGCTTGACTTCTGTAACTTTATTCTTTGATGTAAAAACTTTTTAGCTGTGCCTGCTCATTTGCTTTCCCATATAAATTTCAGAATAAGCCTGTTTAGTCTACAAAATATTCACAAATATCTTTTTGGGGATGCTCACTGAATGAGATTAAATCTACAGATCAATTTGGGGAGACTGGGCATCTTTCTTTTTTTTTAATATTTATTTATGTATTTGAAAGTCAGAGTTACAGAGAGAGGGAGAGACAGAGAGATCATCCATTCACTGGTTCATTCCCCAAATGGTCACAACAGGCAGGGCTGGGACAGGCCAAAAGACGGAGCCAGGGGCTTCTTTAGGGTCCCTACGTGGGTGCAGGGGCTAAGGCCTTGGGCCACCCTTTGCTGCTTTCCCAGGTGCATTAGCAGGGAGCTGGATCAGAAGTGGAGCAGCTGGGACTTGAACTGGTGTCCATATGGGATGCTGGTGTCGAAGGCAGTGGCTTAACCCACTGCGCCACAATGCTGGCTCTGAGAATTGTTATCTTTATTGTGCCAAATCTTCGGGGCCAAGAACGGAAGATGTCTATCTGTTTGTGTAAATCCAGTTTGATGTCTTTCATCCACACTATGTAGTTTTAGCAGATAGATTACCCATATGTCATATTAGATGTATACTAAGTATTTCATTTTTGAACTACTCTAAATGATACTGCTCTTTTCAAATTGTATGCTTCCTATTATATAGAGACAGAGTTTTGTGTGTTGATTTTCTGAATTTGTAAGCTGTTTTTAAAGATTTATTTTTAATTATTTTGAAAGCCAGAGTTACACAGAGAGGGAGAGGCAGAGAGATGGAGAGCAGTCCTCCATCTGCTAGTTCACTCTCCAAATGGCTGCAACAGACAGAGCTGAACCAGGCTGAAGCCTGGAGCCAGGAGCTTCTTCTGGGTCTCCCACGAGTTTGCAGGGGCCCCAGCACTTGGGCCATCTTCCACTGCTTTCCCAGGACATCAGCAGGGAGCTGGATTGAAAGTGGAGCAGCCAGGACTTGAACCGGTGACGATATGGGATGCCGGCACTGCAGGACCGGCCACAGCACCAGCCTCTCCTTTTCATTCTTGATGGCTAGGAATATATATATGTCTGTCTGTCTGTCTCTCTCTCTCTTTGTGTGTGTGTGTGTGTGGGGGTATGTGTATTTTCTTTTTGTTCTCTTACAAGTGTTGGTTGAGGTTTATGATAAGATATTTTTGATTTCGTAGATTTTTTTCCCCTGCTGTTTTTGCTTTCGGTTTCATCGATCCCTGATTTTATCTTTATTACTTCTTTTCTCCTGCAGGCTTGGGGGATGTTTAGCTTTTTGTTTTCTTCAAGTAGAAGCTATGATTATCGACTTGACACCTTTCTTCTTTTCCAATAGAAGCCTTTAGTACCATGTTTTTCTCTTTAAGCTCTGCTTTAGTTATATCCTACACATTTTGATGTTATATTTTTATA